TATCTAGGCCCTATTGCCATGGCCTACATCATTGCCGTGCTTAGCCGTGCACTATACAGTCATATACACCACCATAGCACACCAACTAGGTACCAATCTGTTTTTGGAAGGCCTTCTCTTCCTAATTGTTTGGACAAGTACTCTTCATGTTCGGGTCGATTTTAGGGTTATTGTGGACGATCTATCAAATGATGGGTAGATGTACGAGTTCCCTCCTTGATCACCATGGTGAAATAAAATATTGCACTTTCACTGATCAACTAAATGGACCAATCAGATTTCAGTGGGGGTTTTCTTCGTTATTGTTAGGACAAGTACTAGTCATGTTCGGGCCGATTTTAGGGTTATCGAGGGCGCTCTATCGAATGATGGGTATATGTGTGGACCTCCGGCTTTGAGCTCACCAAGAAACAGAATTCGATGATTCGATCGGTGAAATGAAGTTGAGCGATGAAATTGTGGGAGTCGTTCTCTTCCTCATTTCGAGACCATGTTTGTGTTACGTTTTAGCCGTTTCTGAAGTCTCGGAGATGCTCTTATAAAGAACCTACACATCGAATTGCTCGGGTTTTCTTATAACTTTGAAGTGTTATCTGACCATCTGATTTGTGAGTTGAGATGGATTGATAATCTGGTACATCATTCTCGCTTAGTTAATGGTCGAAAAGAATGACTGTTTGGGGAGGTTGTTTTGGGTTAGGTGTATTATTGGATAAACGGTTGTTGACAATCGGTGGATACGTTATTCGATAACATCTAGCGTGTACGGCACATTACAATGGTTTATGGTATGCTTGTTTACAGCTCCTGTGTTGCTACCATGCTCGCCAACGACCATTGTTCATAGTCATTGTTTCCGCTCGTTGTAATGCGGCGTAACCTGTCATTAACTATTGGCAGAAGGAAGTGCCGTAAACTGCTCATGAATACGTCGTCTTGCGTTGGCTCACAAGGAGCGTATATGGGTTCCGTTTCGTTACATTAGCCGTTTACGACCGACTTTTACGGGTGTCATGTACACTGAATGTAATTTTCTGGGAGGCATCGTTTACAATTGTTGTAAAGGTCTGGCGGAAACGGTCACTGTTATCCGCCATAATTAGTTGGCGCTTGGCCATGTACAGCCGAGCATAATTGACCTGGATATTGACCATTTACTTAATGTTGGCCCTCGATGATACAGATGATTCACCTATTGCTGGTGATAGTACGCGTGTGAAAATATTGGGAGAAGGAATAAATGCGTATGTCTTGGAAAATTCTAGTCTAGAAAGCGTTGGTTGGGTAACAGTAAAAGTTGCGGGTGTGGGTGGATGATTGGTGTGGATAAAGCAACGAATCAAAGCCACACTCAAACGTACACCCACATCCAAAATGTGCTTTTCTTATTTCAGTGAGCTCTAAACATTATCAATTTATCTCTCGACACTCGGTTAACTAGTATCTGAAGTCGATAGATAAACCTGACATTATCTGTATGATCATCTGATTGTGCCATATCCTGATCTTTTTCTCTGGCTTATGCATTATGTATTTGTACAGACAGCTCTTCAATATTCCCTTCTTATACCTCCAATGTCCGCTAATAAGCTTTTTTGTGTCGATGAGTGTTCTCTAGTAAAGTATTATAGCAAACAGCGGAACGTTCTTAGCCAAACGAATAAATAAGAGATTTTCGATGGTATTCATTATGGCATATGCTTTCAAGCGAAGCAGAGCGACCCTGTCATCGCTTACTAAAATTTGAACAGTCTCTCTGCGAGAATTGATAAAGCTTAAGGCATCTTGCGAGACTATCATTGATGTCGTGCAATGGAATGGAGCGTTTAGCTAACCAACGAAACCATGATCGGCTTTCTAGAATATCAAAACATTTCGTATTTGTTATGCGAAGCTACTGACAATTTTGCAAGTCTTACATAATGGTTTCATATACATTGTACGAAACCTATAATCGTTCCGTATATACCATACGAAACCGCCGTTAGTGTCGTAAGAGGTAAAATGGTTTCGTATAACTTGTACCGAACTGTTGGTGGTTTCGCAAGCTGTATTATAGTTCCGTATACATTATACGATACTACTGATAGTTCCGTAGCATATATAAAGGTTCCGAATATGAAACGAGAAACCATCCTTAGTTCCGCAAGCAGTAAAATGGTTCGGTACAAATTGTACAGAACTATTGAGGGTTCGTAACCTTTATTATGGTTCTATATGCAATATACGAAACCATTGATGGTTTTGTAAAGCATCTACAGGTTCCGTATACGTGACACGAAACCATCGATGGTTTCGTGAATGATGCAATGGTTCGGCATATCTTTTACGGAACCGTGCATAGTTTCGTAAATATTGCAAAGGTTCCAGAGACATTTTACGAAACCATTGATATTTTTGAAACTCCTATAATAGTTTCGTATGTCTTATACGAAACCGTTAAGGGTTTCGTCATTGATCTGAAGGTTCTGTATATATGTAACGAAATCATTAGCAGTTTCGTAGAATATCTGAAGGTTTCGTATTAGTTCTACGAAACTATTCATGGTTGCTTAAGTGCTCTAGTAGTTCCGGAAACGTTAAACGAAACTAGCCATCGTTTCGTAAAAGATGTACCGAGCTATTAGATCATTTACGAAGCTACGAAAAGATTCGTAAAATGCATGCCGAACCTTTTCGTGTTTTGCGAAACTTTTGATAGATTGGTATAAGATACACGGAACCTTTGTTTGTTTTACGAAACTATTAGGGGTTTCGTAAAAGATCAAAAGGTTCAGTATAAGTTGTACGAAACTATTCATAACTTCGTAAACGATGTAATGGTTCGGTATATCTTTTGCGAAACTACAGCTACCCAGGGCGAACAATCGGACACTAAGATCGGACAAGATTCTGCGTCTGATCATATATGATCTTGTACGACTTGGTATGAATCGTACAAAAAATCGTAGTCTTTGAAATCTTACATCAATTCTTATTGTAAGATTCTTGACAGATCTTGTTGTCTTGCCAGATCTTACAGGAATCTTATAGTAAGAATTGATGTAAGATTGCAGAGACTACGGTTTTTTGTCAGATTCTTGTAAGATTTCGTTCATATTACAAGATCTTATAAGATTGGGTACGATCTGACGTCAGATTTTTCGACCTGGGTAGTTTCGTATAGTGCATCCGAAACTATAGGAGCACTTACCGAACTATGAATGGTTTCGTAGAACAAATATAGAGCCTTTAAATGCTCTACGAAACTGTCAACGGTTTCGTACCAAAGATGCGAAACCACCGGAAGTTCAGTAAACAATGCGCAGAACTTCTAGAAGGTTTCGTAGTATAACTTCAAAACCTTCTTCGATTTTTGGAACTTAAAAAGGTTCAGTATGAAGACTACGAAGCCTTTTCCATCCCACGGAACTTAAAATAGTTTCGTAAGTCAGCGCGAAACCTACAAAGTTTGGTAAAATACCTTTTTTTTTACAGTGCGATGTACTGTTAATAGTATGAATTTGATAAGATGAAGTATGTGGGAATAAGTGAGTGAAGTTTTGTGATCCCACTGCACGAAGACTCCTCAGATTTTTTTTGTGCGTGGTGGTAGTGGTTGCGACGAATAGTTATAATAAGGTGTACTTGGTGAAGCAGGTTGCCCAGTCAGAGAAGCGTTGAAAAAAAAGATGATTTTACGCGTAAAAAGCGCACATTTTAACGTTTCATGAAATGTAACTTTTATTGAAAAATAAAGCAACCTTGTTAATAGAAACGTCGGGAAAATTATTCTTTTTCCAAAAATAAACGCTTTTTAACGCCTAGAAAATGTGGGATTTTTACGCGTAAAAACGTCGTTTTTTTTCAACGCTTGTCTGACTAGGTATGCTTTCTAGAAAACCAAGAATTTTGTAAAAAACCAACTTTGAAGTACTTCTGAGTCCTGAAAGTCACTCCATAAGAACGAGCACACCTGAAAACCTATAGATAACAGTTTATTGAGTTTATTCGTCTGTTGTAAAACTAAATATCTGCTTCCCTATTTAAAATTCACCACTGTGTAGGGCGGATAAGACCCTTTGCTGCCCCAAAAAAATTTCGGCTGTTTTGCATTGGAACTATGTCAGGGGATACTCAGAAGTATTCCCAGGCACATAGTTTCGCGAAGTAGCTCGGTCAAGTTTTTCAGGCCTGAGAGCCCTCACAGGATTTCTGAAAAACCTTTTATTTTTGATTTTTTCCAAACCCATTTCATCATATGTAATCGACCACGCTGATCACGAATATCCATATCAAAATTGTCAAAAATGCTCTTGGACGTAGTAGTCTTATATTTACCTCCATTTTCTTGCTTTTTGCAAAAAAGGTATTTCGATGCCTTGCTTTCCTAGGAAGCGCCGAAAAAGCAACATATATAGTGATTCGGATGCACAATTTTGTGCTGGATATGAATATTGAATCTGAAAACTCATTCATATTGGAAATTTTTATGAAAATCGCTAAAAACGGGCTAAAACCGTGGTTTTTGGTGGTATTCACCCNATTGTATTCATAGTTTTAGAATGGGTGAATGATTAATGGAATTATTATTTGCTATCGATATGATTCTTCTGAGACTGACTCTTATGCTACTATCCGTTTGTGATGTTCCTTAACATTTTTAAAATACGTATCATATATTGTTGCTTACCTTGGGTGAGAAAAAACAATACAGATCATATAGATATCATTGCATTCGTATGTTGACAGGACATGATGAAAAAAGTCTTTATTATTCTCTATTTTGATTAGTGACATTTTTGTTTTCGAACAAATATGAAACAAAATATTGTTGTTTTACGAAACAACATTTTCATTTTACTAGTTTATTAATAAAATCTTTTTTTCTTATTCAACGATAAACCGTTGACTATCGCGAATATAAGAAAAAAAGAGGCTTTTAAATGTACATGTTCTTATAGATCATTTTATTGTTTTAATAACATCAGATATCGTAAGGTGGTTGTCGATAATGATGCTCGTTGCTTTCTGTCAATATAACCTGCAACTGAAAAAGCTGATTCAGAAGCAACTGATGTTGTTGATGCACAATTATATCGACGTGCACAAGACGCTAAAATTGGAAGACGAGTTTTATTTTCGTCCCAATATGTTTGAAAATCTTTGCAAGATGTACTTGTGGATATATGTAAACTAAATTCTTGTTTTAAAGTAAATGGTTTTGCTTTTTGTTCTGGTTTTGGTGCAGTTTCAGCATCAGCTGACGACGAACGACATAGCATTCGAAATCGATTAATTGTTGATAATTTCGATGATTTGGATAAATTGATTGATGAAGATGATGATGATGCTCATTGTGGTTGTATATGTTCTGATGAAATGATTGTTGTTGATTTTTTTGAATTAGAAATATCTTTTGTTAAACGCATCAACATTAATTCAGCTTCATTTATTTCTTCAACTGATAAATCTTAAAGTGTGAACGGATCTAGATATGCAGCAATCTACAATAAAGAAATAAAAACATGTTACTCAGTTTAAATGGACTTTTCCCAATTATTTCACACAAAACCAAAACATCACAATCTCATTTTCTAGATGAATCTGAATTAAATTTTGTCAGTATACTTTAGAAAGGTGTTCCTTTTTTATCTTTAAGTGTGCACCATTGATGAAAACCGTTGATAGTCACACATAATGTTACTTTCGACATTTTATACATTGTTTAATGCATGTCTTTCGGAAACTTTGCATACTAAATAAGATAGTGTTCATTTGTCTATACTTACTAATTTAGCACATCGTTGTTCATGTGTAACATTTGTTTTAAAATATAAATTGAATTTATCAAGTAATAAATTTTTTAACCCATTTTCTAAAGGACAATTAGGTTTTTCGTTTGTTAAATGAAAATATAAATTATTGATTGTCCAATAAGTTAATTATAATGTTGGATACTGACGACCAGATAAGCATTTCGTAGCAAAATAGAATGGAGCTAAAACATTGGACAATGATTCTATTAATTTCCATTCAAATTGATTAATTTGCAATGAACGTATTTTTTTAATTTGTTTGATTGTTAAACCAATATGAGATTGAGGCGAATAAATAATGTCATTTACAATCTGTTGACCTGCCCATAAACGGGCCAACATAATAAAAGTAGAATTCTACCTAATGTAAAAGTCATTTATCAGGTCATTTGCTTTGATCTTTTCTTCATTACCATCAGGATTAATTGCTGCATCAAGATCAATTTGTCGTCGTTTTATTTCATTACGAACAAATGTGGTTAATATACTTGATTTATTTATCATTTTTATTAATTTACGAATCTTTTTTAATAAATTGGAAATTTTTTTTAAAATTTATCAGGATTTAATAATAATTGTTGTATTTCTTCTTGTTCTTCCTCGTCTTGTATTCGACTATCTTTTTGTGATTGTGTTAATGTTGTATTATTATCATCATCAGAAGTATCTGAACAACTATCAGTTTCATCTTGATCACCTAATGTTGTTATATAATCAGCATCACCATCATTTTCATTATTTAAATAATTTTCATCGTGATTAACCCATTCGTCGAAAATCACATCGATATCGACAAGACGTGATTTTTCTGTGTCATCATCAGAATCATGAGTATGTTCATTAGGTGCTGTTGTTTTTTATGTTGATGATGATGTTGTTGTTGTTGCTGTTGTTGTTTCACCTTTTTTTACTAAATACAAAATAAATACGAATGCATTTAATAAAATAAACCATTCAAAAGAAGTCAGACGATGATGAAACAAGAAACTGAGAGCATACCAACTATAATATAATAAGAAAAATGGATTCATTCAAATATATTATATGAGTTATATTTCTCGAAGCTCATTGATGTCGAAGTAATCAATATTGAACTACCCTATTTTACTTAAAATATGATCTTGATTTACCTTTTTGATGTTGTTTTTTTCCATAAATCTAAACCAGTTGATATTGCTCTATTAATATTATGAGCATCGCAAGAAAATCTTATTCCAAATTCTTGTGATGATGTTGCAGATTTGATATCACCACCATTATCAGTTGCAATAGAAAAAATTTTTGTTTCAATTTCTAATTTTTTAATTTCATGAAGAATAAATTTTTTTAATCGAGCACTCAAGTGCCGACCTCGAAAAGATCGAATCGAAATAACATCTGAAAATGTTTCATAATGTTCATTATGATAATGAGCAGTAATTACTAAGAAATGATATCGTCGAGAATTCATCCAAAGATCTGTAGTTAAAGATATAAATGGAACTATTTTAAACTTTTCTTTTAAAGAAGATCTTCGTTCTTGGTACATTTTATCTAAATGTTTACGAACGGTTTGTCTGGATGGTCCACGATAACCTGGTTTAATGATATCAAGAAAATGTTGCATGCCAGGATGTCGAAATGTTCCAAATGATAAACCATCTTTTACTATGCATTTAATTGCAGCTGTATCAAGTTTTTTTTTCACATGTGGCAAAATAGACGGTTTCTTTTCAATATTTTCACGTTGTTTTATTTGAGATGGATATAAATAGCAATAAAACCCATGTTTAAATCCAAGATGACTTCTTAAGTTTGTATCCGAAAATGGATTATATTTATATTCCTAAACGAGAGACATGACAAATAGAAAACAAAGTAAAAATTTTTAAAAAATCATAAGAGACTAATTGAATTTTCCTTTATATGACTCTCAAAATACCTCTTTACTTTTTACTGAAAAAGATTAATTAGGTTTGTTCGAACTGTAAAGCTTTTTACTTCCTAGTTTTCAAGTAACAAACAAGAAAAGAATCTTCTTACACGTGAGAAAATGGAGCATTTGACTCTATCAGTACCATTGACAGGTGTAAAATATTCAATTGGTTGCTTTTGTAAGTTTTTATTATTATCGAAATCTTCAACAATAATAGTATCAGCACTAGCACTTGATATATTAAGAGGATTTTGTTCTTCATCTTCATGATTTTCGGATGAACTTGAATTATGAATATCATTAGCATTTGAACATTCCATTTCCATTTGTAAATCAACATTATTTTCTTTTTGTTTTCTTCTTAATTGTGGTGTTCCTTTAGATGATTTTCTTGAACTATGAGAAGCATCTTTTTTTGAAATTCCACCTTGAACGCTAGACCGACGCCGTAGACTTGAAGCTTCCTTTGAATTAATTCGAGATGAACTTCTTCGACCTGATATCAGCATATCCTGATTATCAGATGATGATGATGATGATAATTGATCATTAGTAGTATTATGATTCATTCTTTTTTTTAATATAATTAGTATGTTCGTTGAAATGTGTCTAAGTTGTATTTTAGCTCGTTTACAAATATTTAGATGTATTCGATATCACCCTCTAAAAGTGGACAACGGGTTTTCTGTATGTTTTGTCCTTTCATTAACGAACGCCTGCCATTTACAATCATTAAGCGTATACATTAAGTTTTTATCTGTCTGTCTCTGCTTCTTTCCTTCCTCTCCCTTTCTCCCTCCTCTCTCTTGTTCTCTTTCCTCACTTATCTAAAATGTACCTAATGCACTCGGAAAAAATGATTTCATACTATATTTTTCTCATTTTTTTTCTGATATTGTAATCAATTATGTATTAAATATGTCAGATGAATGTTATAAGCGTTTCTTTATGCATGTATGTGAAACAGGAAATAAAGTTGCTCATATTAAAATACTGTAGTCAAGAAGTTAAGGATGCATATCAAATATAAGAATGACAAAAATTGAAGGTACAAATATATTTATCGCATTGAGCAACATTATATCTATTATCTCTGATAAAGTAAACACTAAAATTTTCATTCAATTTTAAGCTGACTAAGTAACGAAGTGAGTTCGAAGCTAGACTTATGTAACAGGGCTCAGATGAGAAAATAAATACTCTTTTTTGTATGATATACACCGTGGTTGATATCTTATTATAGGGAATCTAAATATTCAAGGCTGTAAGCTTGTTATCTGATGATAAATTTCATCATTCTTCTTCTTTTATGTAATCGGATCCGAAAGAAATTCGAGATATAACATTTATATATGGCTTGCATGGTTGAAAAAAATATTGGAAGAAAATAGTTAGTCAACTAAAGTCAAGCCATCTCCTAAAAGCAAAGTGATTTCGTCATTGAATATTGATACCAGCGCTTCATTTACGTCAATATAAAAAATGATAATTATGTTGCAAAATGAATCAATCAAAAGACTATATTTTGTGCAGAACTTTAGCTGAATTAGAGTCCTAGCCATTTTCACAATAAAATCTAACAATTTTTAGAAAAATAATATAGTTAATTGAAAAGGTGATGAGTAATATTTGATTTTCGTTTCAGTTATTACGAAGGACGCTATTGAAATAACTAACATAGGATTTAGAAAAGCAATTCATTGAAATAAAGAAAGGCATTAGCATATTGTCACTTATTACGTATTAAATTTTGCATTTATTTTTCCAATTGATAAAAATAATCCTATGAAATAACTTTGAATTAATATGTATATATTATTGTTATAACATGATTTATTTATTTTGTTGAAATTTCCAAAGAAATTATTTTTTATTCTTTATTCTTTATAAAATAAAGATAAAGTAAATTTTTACCTTTATTTATAAAGTAAAGATAAATTAACACGCCTAATCGGTATCACATCGTTCAAGTATCAGGAATCTAAATTGTTGAAATAATGGCGACAGAGTCGGCGTCAGAATACGTTCGTTGATGATTGTGTTTAAATTACTGGTCAAAATAAATATTTTGAATTATGGACTACATTGCAATATTTGACACAGATAATCAAAATCTACCCATTCATTTATTGTTAATTGTTAAATTGACCAATTGGTTGGCCAGGTGAAATTTTTCAACCCTCGATATCGAATATTCAAATCAAGATTACGTAGATTAACTTGTGAAAAAATTCTTGTTAAAAGGGTATGGGTGTGAATGTGTCTCTTCCCTTCAAATATACCCACACCCTTGTCAGAATTGTTACATATCGACATGAAATTCCTATGTAATACGAAACAATTTTCAGCTGCTGTTTTGAATAGCTAACTGCGGTGAAAATTCTTCTACTAAAGTGTTTGATACAATTTTCTTAATAAATAATTCAATGAGAACGCATCTCAATAAACCATCGATGCATTATTACAATAAAATAAATGTGGACACCTCCGATTTAAGTCCAAGAGTTATGTGTACTTCAAAAAGTGAATTAGACAGATGAGTCATCCTAGAATGTGTGGACATCAAAATTATCCTGGCAAATCTTTCCTATAAACACTTGACTTCTATTGCCTATTGCTTACCCAATATGACTTGGGCGCGAATACAGCTCAGATTCGAACTCGTCGTCTTGATTTACCCTAAGAAAGTCGTTTTTTTCTATCACTTCATTTCTATTAGTTACCCCTCAACCAATAGGATTTCGAGGTAAGTGCAGTACAGATTCGAGTTCTCCAGCCCAGAAAACCTCAAAGTATCATCTCTGTGATGAGAAGATTGAGCTCTATTTGTGGATCAATTAGAGTGTGGACGAAAACAGAACCAATTTCCGTTTAGTTATCTTTGTAATCGTAGAGTTAATCTTCTTGTTTCTTTATGTTTTATATACCATTGTGTAGCTCGTGGAATTCTCTATCGAATGGTATATAATAGTTGGAGTTTTATTTGATTATGATAGTAAAAGTCTTTTACGAAAGTGAGAATAGGTCGATTTTCCTATAGGAAGCTATAGGGAAAAATTACTATTTTTGCAATAACTCAGGAACGGCTCTGCCAATCATGCTCATCTTCGAACTCGACCGAGCTATTGTTAAGACTGAACTGTGTAGAAAATTTCATCGCGATTGGACTCTTCTTTCAAAAGTTATCGTGTAAACGGACGGCCGGACCGGACACACTGACCGATTCTAGAGTGTACTCACTTTTTGAGTACACAAGAACGATTTTTTTATTCATGTCTATACTTATTTTCAATTTAAAACGCATAACAAACCATTATTTCACAAAGTGAGTACATTGAGTATTCATCTTCCAAAAGATCATATTGCAATTGATCCATACAGTATTTCAATTTTGATTGATTTTTGAAAAATTATGGAAATCAAATTGAAATGCAGTTCGTTTAATACTCATGATCAAACTGTATGGATGAATCTTTCACGATTAATTTCACTGGCTTATAATCTGACTTTTTTATTGTGTACTCAACAAGTGATTACACTCTAGAATCGATCAGTATGTCCGGCCGGCCGTTCACACGATAACTTTCGAAAGAAGAGTCCGATCACGATGAAATTTTCTATACAGTTCAGTCTTTACAATATCTCGGTCGAGTTCGAAGATGAGAAGGATCGGCCCAGCCATTCATGAGTTATTGCAAAAATACCCATTTTTCCGTATAGCTTCCCTATGAAAAGATCTACCCATCCCCACTTTCGTAAAAGACTTTTCCTATCATAGTCAACTAAAACCTCAACTATTATGTACCATTCGATAGAGAATTCCACGAGCTACAAAATGGTATATAAAACATAAAGAAACAAGAAGGTTGACTCACCTATGACAAAGATAATTAAAGAGAACTAGCTTATATTTTTGTCCACGATCTAATTGATCCACAAATAGAGCTCTATCTTCCGATCGCAGATATGATACTTCGAGGTTTTCTGAGATGGAGAACTCGAATCTGCATTCCGCTTCCATCGAAATACTATTGGTTGAGCAGTAACTAATAGAAATCAAGTTATAGGAAAAACGACTTTCTTAGGGTAAATCAAGGGGAAGAGTTCAAATTTGAGCTGTATTTAGTCCCAAGTCCTATTGGTTTGGCAATACCCAATAGAAATCAACAGTTTAGATGGTAGGTTCCCCAGTATAATTTTGATGTTTACACATTCTAGGATTGCTAATTCGTCTGATTCACTTTTTGAAGTACACATAACTCTCGGATTTAAATCCGAAGTTTCCGCATTTATTTATTTTGACTTCACTATATGATTTCCAAACTACTCTCGATACAAAATATGTATTATCAATAATTCCACCAGGAATTAAAACTTTAGCAATGTCGGTAAATGGTTTAAATCAGATACAAATGATCATTCAACAATGTTCGAACTTATCATGGGTCGAAGTCACATTTGACTCTATACCATTACGTAACTGATTTATAGCTTGGCTCAATGAATATACAAATGATTTTACATATAAAATATGACCGAGATTGGTTGTTATTTGGCTTGGAACGAAACAAAATATTCGATACCGTAAACTACGATCTGGATATAAACAAATAAAATTAAGTAAAAATCCAAATTAATCATGAATCTCGTATTTGTTTCTTTTTCTTAATGATTTTTTCTTGATAAAAGAAAATACTCGGATATTTGATAAAGAACTGTATTGTGTATAATCTGTTTTTCGAATAATAAAAGCGAACTTAGTAGTATAAGCTTTTTTCATTTGATATTGCGAAGAAAAAGAATAGATTTAAAGTTTCATTGAAACATCACTTTTCGAAATTCAATGCGCTTGTCGAAATGCGTAATACAGGTAAATATATCCAATTAATCGATTATATTTAGTTAGTATCGAAAGTAAGTTTACGCAAAGTTATGCATTAGATAGGGCATTCTTGTTGTTCTTTGTTCCGTGAAATAGAACTGGTAGCATCTTCTTTTCGGTAAATAATATTTTATAATCAAGTGTACTGATGATCATCTTCATCTGATGAATATTTTTCTCCCGTTAGTTGCTATCTTCTATGGAAATCATGGACATGTTTGTCGTATCAATCCTTATGTTCTGTGAAAAAACTACTGAAAAGACGATGAGGAATGTTAATAATAGAAATCAATGTCCGTTTCAATATGAACTATGAAGAACATCACTCGGCAGTAATAACTCTACATCGATTATGAAGAACGAGAACGAAGCACACTAATGACCGTGGTGTTAGTCATGATTTGTTATCAATCGTTTATTTATTTTCGTTTCTTCTCATTCGCTCTTTCGTTTTTATGAAAAACATCGATTATTTATATTGATTTGAAGCATTCAACGTGCATAAACACGAAGCAAATGTTATAACGAAGAGAAAAAAATATCCATCGTGTCTTCATTAGTCGATAGCGTAGGTGTAGTAGGTCTCAAACTGTAAAAGAACGACGAAAAAGAATATGCTACATCGACATAAATAGGAACGACATACCTTTACATTGACAGAACTCAACAATAACAAGCAGAAAAGAA